GCAAGTTGAGAGTTCTATTGTAGATAGGAGAGAAACGCAGAATGTATCTGCTGCATGATCGCGTGGCGTATTCGTTTTTCGTAAGACTTTTAAGCTTGATCTGGATTGATTTATTGTGCAAATATCGAATAAAATTTTAGTGCAGGGAATTAGCTAGAGCTGTCGTTCATGACGCTTGATACCATTGAGTATTAATCATGATAAGCTTTTATTTCGTATTGACACTGGACAAACCAATAATCTGTAGAAGGAGAAAGAGTTTCTTTAGCAGTACAGCATGATTGCACTATGCTTTACTCGGACTTTTCTTCGAGAACATAGTGCAGTCAGTGTGTGAATTTTAGGTCGACCAGCCGGCACTTTCATTAAGTCATATTCTTTATCTACAAAGTATCTAAGTAAAAATTGAGCATAAGACTGCTATAAAATACATTTTGAATTCAAACTAAATTCACTTGTTATCTCAACATTTTTCTTCTTCTCTTATGTTTTCCTGATGATGGTATGAGTACATACAGAAAGCTCAAAAATAAACGAAATAACAAGTGAATTTAGTTTGAATTCAAAATGTATTTTGTAGCAGTTTTATACTTAATTTCTACTTATTTATTCTCTACCGTTATTCCAAGAAGTTAAAAAGTATTTCCTGAGAAAGAGAACCTTTTTTAACATTCGAGATATCGGCTTTTCATAATAACTGTTAGTCTTGATTCTTTAACTAGAAAATGAACATCACTCAAAGACATGTACGTATGAAAAGAGAGGGGTAGACAGTCCAACAACTGCGAAAAAAGAAGGAAATACAAGAACTTTTGATTTAAAACGGTCGCTTAAAAGGAAAGTAAAAGGAATGCTTTATAGCTCGTCTGTGTATTGACGTTCGCTTCACATTTGTCACATTTTTTGCTCTACGGGAAAAAAAGTGAATACAGTTATATATATTAGGCTTCATGAGAATAAGACGTATACACTATACATACAGAAAGAGAAGAAGAAAAGAATGTGTATACGTGTAGGAACCTAATATATAGTGACCTATTTATTTTTGCTTACTTAGGTCGGTTCTATATATATTAGTACGTCTGCTTTTTCTAACGTGTTTTGGGCGAGAGAGAATTTATAAATATAGATATACACTCTGTGTATGACAGGCACATGTGTGATGAGAATATTTGCGTTTTTTCTTCTCATTTTAATCGAGACGAGAAGTAAAAGTGTCGGTTGTAAAAGGTACTGATTTCTTCACGCATCTTCAGACCAATTTTATATTGGAATTTTTTTGTATGTTATATGTGCGTTTTGGGCTTTTTAAAAGTAGAATTAGATTAAGAAGTAAGTAATTTACATAGTAAGTACACTGTAGCTCCAATGAGTAAGCGAATAGAGATACTAAATATTTCTATTTTACTTCTATTTATTTTCTATTTTCTATTTTTCTTTTTCCTATATACTGTTCCGAACGGTCCGCCGTGTTACTTCGTTCTCTGTAAAATAAAACAAGTTAATTCTTTGATCAATAATATGATTTAGTCATTAACAGATACGTCACACATTCAAATTACGATACGGTGATTCTTTATGGTCTATTCTCTAGTACGTGATTTAACACAATTTCTTGAAACTGGATTGGAGAGACGATTGATATAGAGTTACAGAATGTTTTCGACAAGAATTTAGTCTGAAAAGTAAAGGTTTCAATAGCGTGCCAAACTACTCAGTTTTTATATAAATACTTTTGGTATAGACACACTCATGCATATTGTTTACAATAACTGTTTAAAAATTATATTTATTTGATCATTTAAGTTTTATTTTACAAAATCAATTGCTATTCATGTATGGCTTCATAAAGAAGATCTGCGACTGACTCGAGAAGTGAAGTAGTGCAGGCACTTTCCAAAATTATCCTGCTCACTAGATTAAATTCAAGATACTTGAATATTGAATAAGTTTCTGGAGAAGTCATTTAGGATATTGGTAAAACAAGTGATGGCTGCAGAGCCCCTAGATTTCTAGAATCCTTTAACGTTAACCAGAATTTAGCTATCTCTTTAAGCTTAGCTTCTGACGGAATATTTTTCAGCAGCTCACTCTCACCCACCCTACTCCCACCGCAAAGAATTCTGGTGCCTATTTCACTAAATTCTGTTGATTGATGGACGATACAACAGAATTTAGGGGCTAAATCCAGCTGTGTTTTACTAAATTTCTGACGGAGATATACTCCGGTAAGAATTTTTCACTCAGCAGAATTTACAATCTGTACACAGTTTATTTTTCTTACGCGAGTAGTATCCCCGTCAGAATTTAGTAAAACAGCTGACTTTAGTCCCAAGTTTTGATGTATCATGCATCACCTAATGGATTGAGTAATGGATCTTTAGATTCATTTAAACTTGTTCCTTCTGGAAAGATGTAAGATATACAATTCTTTATTTTAAAGAGAAAGACAAATATATATCGCTTAAACAAAATCTTGCGACCGAATGTCGCCTTCAATACGTTGCACTTAAGCGATCAAAATTTATTTCAGATCAAGTCATGACTTCTTCGGGATTCTTTTGTTTATTCGTTCATTTATCGATTATTTATTTTTGTGTTTGAATCAACTGTGCCATCCATGAGGGCCAAACTAGATTTACATGATTTTAACACACTATTTCAAACGAATCAAAAGTTAACAGTTCAAATTCCGTTCCAGTTAAACGATGTAATCGATGATAAACAAATGGCGATGTTAAAACAATATGAAAATGAATGTGGTTTATCTCCGATAGTATTATTCTTCGGCCAAATGCCAATAATCGGTCATTTATCACAAAAAAGTTACGTTAAACCGTATATTGGCGATACCAAACCGTTAGGTCTTTATCTGATATTGCTTGGCAATAGTGGTAAGATTCTTTTATTCTGTTCCGATTGTTTGACTGATATATACAGTGGACGAGCGAATAAATGGATAAATGTAATGATCGCCCAGATGTATCAGTTTTTCTTTCTTTTCTTACTCAAAGTGTTTACATGAGCATATTGAACAAATAAATAATGTTCAATAATAATGATTTTCGAGTTATAGCTTTATGATCAAGCTCATGACTTTAGAATCGGAGAACTACAGCTATGAAGTTGCTATTCGACCGACTAAAGCTTTCGTGTTTCAGACCTTCTAGTTATCAAATAACCACGAATGAAAGAAATGCTCATGCTCAAAAAAAGATCGAAGTTTATCAATAGGTCGGTGTCTCTCCTAAGAATACTATATTCTAGTTTGAAGACAAACACTTGAGGAGATTATGGTTTGCAAACTGTAGCTATCGTATCTTTAGTTTTCTTTCGCTTTAAAACATTTGTGCATTCTCTGAAACAACGTCAGTTCTTTTATTTTTACGTTCAGGAGCAAATAAAAGTGGGCATTATAATAAACTGATTATGGCATTAAAGAAAACCGAAGACGCATTCCCTGCAAAATATAAGCATGACAATAATCGAAGTGTCATTGAAAATGTAACCACAGTGGCAATAATAAAATCGGTAGGAACAGGTGATAAAATTGTGCCCTCCGATGAAATTGACACAACGCTGTCAAAACTTGGCATTTTTGATGGCGAAACACAAAACTCCACGAAAAACACCGAAGGAGCAACAACATTAATAAATGGATTCGATGGATGGTCGGATTCAACACGAGCAACGGGATGCGAACAAGATCACATACGATCTGCCAAATTGTCATTACTTGGTTGTACGGTGGGAACCAAATTTGGAAAAGTATTGCAAAAATGGTATTCAGGAAGTGGCTTCGAAGGTACGGCTGTTTTTTCAGCAGCATCTTTTAGTATTTGCGTCTCATTTCGTTTAGGCGTTTACAATCGTTTCGTCTATTTTTCATACTCAGCCATACCACCGATTCGCCCACAAGATTTAAAAAAGCACTTAGTTCAAAAGAATATTGCGTCGTTAACACATTTATTCTATGTCATTAATTGTTTCGGCGATATTGAATACCAATTTGAACAAAATGAATATGACAATAATCAAAATAGAGCCAATACTTATGCTAGTGAGTTCTTTGTTCATTCTTCCGTTCGATTCCAGCACCGAGTGTATTATCTAGGAAATCTTACCGTTGCTGTATCTTAATATAACTGAGCTGCATTTCAAGTAATCTAGTTCAACTATTTGAGCGTTTTAGCTGATGACGAGGATACGATCAGTGCGTTCAATTATGCTGGTAACAAAACCGTTGATCATATATCGTGTGCTGATGAAAAACAACCTCAACATATTCAAGATTTTTACGCAAAAGCACCATCGATTTATCCTCGTATATGTGCAATATTACAGTTATTTTATAATTCGTTGAAGTTCTTGAAGATGTGAAAGATGTTATTAATTTTGATGATGGTTTCTCGAAAAGCAAAAAGATCGCTGCCGATTTCATTATGAAAGCCCAAAATTCAATAGAGAAATTGTTTACGTCGAAAGCCACACGTAATGATGAACAAATGCCAATTTTACTGATCACTAAACAAACATGTATCAAAGCTTGGAAAATTTATGAACATTTTTTTGAACAATCAGTACAATTGTTCAGTTTCGATACTACCAATGTTGATAATACCGTGAAACAAAACGTGAAATTGAGAGAGCAACCACCCTCTAAAATTCTTCAGTTACCCGTGAACTTTTTTACACGTACCACACTACAAGTATCAGATAAAGAAAAGCAAATCAAGTCTTTATTCAAGCATGCTGGAAAACATCTAATTAACGAATATATTGAGCAATTAGTTACTGATGGTTTGTTAAAAGAAGGAAATTTTTTGGTTGATGGACGCGGGAAATCCATGATTTCATGGATGAAACTAAAACTGCCGGATCCAACAGCACAACCAGAAGAACATCAAAAATTTCGAGAAAAATTGGAAAAATACGGTATATCAACTGTTGCATATGAAACAATGTATTCGTTATACCAAATACCAACAAGTACATCACTTTCGTTTGAAGCACAACAGTTTTTGGAATTAAATCCAGCGTATAGAGAAGACTGGGAAAAATACGTCGACCAAAACCAAGATTTTCAATTACACAAACAACAATCAAGTAGTATACAAATAACAACATCAGCCACTGCTGCCGTCAGTAAGAAAACTACTTCCTCTCTTTTGGCCGACGTTTTAAAACTGTTAGGTGCGACAACACCAGCAAATCAAAATTCAGTGTGCGATCTAGCTCAAAGCAGTGGAATCCAACATAATCTGTTCCCAAATTATTCGTGTAAGTAGAAGAAAGCTTTACAGTTTGCCGTATAAAATCAGAGGCCGGATGCCCCTTTGGTGGTAGAAGGATGCTGTTTTGTGAGGGATGCCTGATATCTCGCGAAAATAGATATCACCAAAATACACGAGATATTAGTACTCAAAGGTGAAATTTTAGTGAGTACACCAGATATTAGCAAATTTTTGTATATGCCGGTGGTGCAAAGTTCCACATTTCTTTGGAAATTTCCGAATTGAAAGTCTTGTTACTCACTCTCATACTGCCACCCCCGAGCCCCCCGAGCCAGCCCCCGCCGCTACTATATTAGGACAGATCAAGGAGTAGTCAGACCCAATGTCGAACTTTGCTTAAAATGTTCCACTTTC